ATGAAATTAAAAGTAATGAATGATTTAATTGAAAATTAAGTTACAGTAGTTACTTAAATGTAATGAACGTGTACATTAAATTTATGAAATTTAATGTATAATACTTTCAATAAAATTTTATGAAAAGTACATTAAATTTCATAAATTTTCATGAAAAATACATTAAATTTTATGTACATGTACATAAGTATACTTTTTAGTTACAAATACATTAAATTTAATGTAATGTCATGAAATTAAATTCAAATTAAATTCCATTATGTAACTTAAAAGTTAATGAAATTTAAGAACATTTCTAACAGTGTATATATACAGTCTATTAAACTAATAAATCACAAAATTAGTACCGTATTATCAGTTTCTTATTCTTAGGGGAGTATCAGGCTACGGGTTAATGATTACGATTGACGGTTGCTCGGTTCTATTTCAGCCAATTGCGATGGACTCGCTACATCGTGGTTGGTTGAAGTAGAACCAGGCAACCGTCAATCGTCAATCCATAATCTGATACGAGCATTAGGGCCGGTTGTTTTATCTTTAGATAAACTATGTAGTAATTTACTTATTGGATAAATAAAAAAGAGTAAAAACATAACAGAATAAGAGAGTAAGACAGTGAGCTGAAGTTTATCGAAAGGTAGAACAATCCAGCACGCGAACTTCCATAAGCGTGGACCGTTTTTAATAGTATTTCGTCGGTAACATAAGTGAAAAATTTTAATACTTTGAAAGAGCCTTTTATTCTATCTTTTATTATAGTTTTTTATTTACGAAAGATAGAATTTTGTTGCATTTACATATATTGGCGATACCGTGTTTAATAGTCGTCTTTTAATTTGTTATTTCCAAGAAATGAAAAGTTATTTTTTAAAAGTAACTAATACCGTTACTTTTTTGATTCTCAAAAATAACTCGTTATCGTTATCATTATTTAAAAGTAACGATTCATTACTTTTCCGTTATCTTTTTAATGCTGAAATAAAATCAATCTAAAAAAATTTTCAATATTTAAAAAAATATTAATAAAAATAATAAACAATAACGCTATTAGACCGATATGTGAAAACTAAGAAGAAAAATGCTTTCTCGGTTCGAGCTAGAATTTAAGATACGTAATAACATTTCAGAATAAATTTATACATATTCTACGCTATTAAATTATTATGTCAAATTATACTCAATTTGTTTTCAAAATTAATTCGTCAGTACTAATTACCCTCATTAAAAAAAAATCGAAATATAAGTCGAATGTAAGGAGAAAGTGACAAAGACGTAAACAAAAATTCTAAGAAGTGTAAAAGTACAGCGATATGTAAAAAAATTTAAGAGATAAACGCCTCTTTTATGTTTCGTTGTTCCAATTCATGTCTTGTAGAAACTTTATTTATGTCTCTATTACTCTCCCTAAGAATTAAAGTTATTATCATACATATAGACAACATACACTATGTGCCTAATTTCAACTGTCAAAATGTTCCGAAGGTTACGTTTAAAGACTTGATTGTATTAGGGATATGAATCCTTATTATTTTTCCAAGGGACTTGGCAAAGTTAGACCTTATAAGAATGAAGCATCGATTTAAACCTTAGTACACACTTTAGTTTTTGGCATCCTTATTACACACGTCTTTCTCATGTTTTGGATTAATTTTCATCACTTTTATAAGTGTATAAAAATTATTCAACAATTTTTACGTATATATTTTGATATTTTCAGAAAGTATTTGTAAAGTTGTATATTTATAACAAATTGTATATAAATTGTTATAACTGTGCATAAATATAGTTTAACAAATGAATTACATGAAGGCGTGATTTCAAAGTTTTATGGAAAATATTTAGCTGAAAACTACTGCATATTATATATGTATAATGAATAATATGATGACTACTTTTGGGAATATCGGCGTTAATATGTTACTGAAAATCCATGTTTTATACCGTTATCTTGAATTTTTTGAAAGGCAACTTGCCATAGATTCAGATAAAGGCAAAAAACTTCATGAACAAATCATACAAAACATAAAAAAAATATCTTCTGGCGATGATTTCTGATTTTTGTTGCTCAATTGTTAAATAAATTTAAAAAAACATTAATGTAATTTATTTAATTTGTTTAATAAGGAATTCATATAACGTAAAAAGTTGGATTTATGTGCGTGATGTATATGCATGTGTGTGTATTTGCGATCATATTTGGTCTCAGAATCTTAGAAATCATGCTACTTGTAAAGTTGTAAATCAAAATTTACAACTTTAAATCGACACTCCATTTTTATAAGATCTAACTTCACCAAATCCCTTGGAGAAATAATAGAGAGATCCGTATCTCCGACACAACCGAATCTACGTAAACTTTGAAAAATTTTCACGACCACATAGTGTTACAAAGCAATCTACATAAGATGCAGAACGTAAGTTGCAGGTCGCAAGCTTGTTGCGTCAACCAATCTTGAAGCGTCATTTTTAAAATTGATGCATCGGATTGGCTGATGCAGCAAGCTTGCGACTCAAATTCTGGGTGCTATGTAGATCTGGCTTAAAACGTCTAATAGTCGTCTTTTCGACCTGTAATTTCTCATTGGGATAATGCTTCTAGAATTTTTTAGAGAATGCATCAATTAATGTACCATAGATGTAACGAAGACATTTTGAATACTTATTGTATAATTAAAAAAAAACGTTTTTTTTTTCATTTTAATTGAACTTTGTATAAATTAAGTAGCATTCAAGAAAGTTAAAAACTGCAGATGTTTAACGCTAAAGGAGATACTGTAGAACATAAGTTACTTAACAAAGTTCATAACTTGATTTATCTATTTAAATTTGTCACTTTTTGGAAACACCCTGTATATTGTGTGCGTGCGTGTATGTGTAAATATATACACACACACATATATATCGTTACACACTATGTGTCATTTGTATGTATAATATACATATATTTTACCATCCTTGTGTCAAATAGTAATAATCTGTAAACTTAGTACACTGTTTTTTTCTTCTTTATAACTGTTCCATAGAAACGACAACGCTAAATCCATTTAAAAAATGTAATTTGTAACATGTGTATGTTTATGTATGTGTGTTTGTCTGTATGCACATCGGATACGCGCGATTAATTAATCCCGACAAAGTCACGCAAGCCGCACTGTAATAACGAATAAGAGAAACATAAAATTCAACGAGTAGTTAAAAAGACGGCTGGCGCTACCGCAAAATTTGATCTCCATCTCTTCAGGGTGATAGTTTATACATTTTGGTGGTCTTCGTCGATACAGACGTTCTCTTCTTGCTGTACATGCCCCAGGTTCGGTTAATGCCTCGATGGGTTCAATGCTCAGCTGTTTACTGCCGCATGGGCACAACGTGTCGACCACCAGCAATATCAGATTGGTGTGACGGATCTTTTGGACGCTAAACGGTCTGCATTGTAAAGAAAAATAAAAGGAAAAAGGAAAAAATGTTCATTACGGATTATATTATATGTTCTCTGCCTCACTTTATATTGTTAGTCGGAAATTATTAGTTGAATTGATTTTAAAAGAATAGCTTCTTAGGCCTGATTTCATAATATACGGTTACCTAAAGATTAAAGGTAACCAAGAAGTTCATGAATGAATTTCATTGATGAATCTGTTGGTAACCTTTAATCTTTAGGTAACCATATATTGTGAAAACGGGCCTTATATATTTAAGGGGATCTTAAAGTCGTCTGTATTACCGACTAAACCACATAATTTTTGTATAACAATTACTTTTTTCCTCTCTTATTGATTTGAAAATCCTTTTCCAGGATTAAAGTATACGCATTAATATGTGTCTGTGAAGTGGAGTCTATGCTGAAAATGACAAAAAATTTTGAAATTAAGCTTCTTTACTATTTCTTAGTCCAATATAGCACTCTACAGCTGTCACGTCGTGACAACATATAATAGCTTTAAATTTGCTTCATATAATAGCTATGCATCTGTACTTACGAAATAGTAGTCCACAGACTAGTAGTTTGGATGAAGAAACAGCATAGTCTCTTGGATCTAGACGTCTAATTAAAATATAATTGTTATACGAAAAATGCGTATGTGTGATATGCGTGAGTGAGATATTGATGTAGTGATGTATCAATGACACGTAAATCGTATGTGCGTAAGTACTATTTACAATGTGACTAATCGTCTTTAGGACCCCCTTAATAGTTTTGTATACTGATTTTCATACTTTTCCGACAAATTACAACTTTTTAGAGGTCGGATTTTGGTCACTCAAAAATTGGTACTTTTTTTGACATCCTCCGTTATTTTTTTTGTTAAAGAAATATATAGGAGAAATACACTGGGGCACCGTATGAATCACAAAAATTCAAATTCTTAAAAGTGCATCTAAATATAAAAATGTTTGTATTTCTTTTTTTTTAATAATTAAAGCATAATGCATATTTTAAAATTTAATAAATATATTTAGTAAATACTTATTAGTTCTTAAGAAAAAAATTAAAACATAGTTTTTAAGAAATGACTAATGGTGTCCCATACCCGGGATACCATAAATCACACAAAGTAGGATTATACAAGAAATAACGGTGGCAAAAATTGAAAAGTATTTTCAATTAACTTATACATTCTTAGCATAGTTACTAATATAATAAAACATAATTACAACTAATAATTAAATAATAAAATAAAAAGTTATAAGAAAACAAATGAGAAATAACCATTAATACAAAATAAAAAATTTATTACGAGAAAATAAAATTAATTGCTTAGAAGTATAAACTGTCCTTTTAGTATATATGTATACTTTCTGTATTGTCCTGTTTCATCATGAATATTTAATGTATGACCTATGGTACCTCAATTATGCATTTAATTATACATTTAATAGAAAACTATAAAAAATAAATGTTAGATTATTACTTGTAATGTAGTAAGTTGAGAAAAGATGCTCAGAAACTTGCACCTTATCTTCTACTACGAAAACAATATTAAAACATTTTTATGCGATTAGAAAGTTACTATTGCACCACGAAAACCATTAATGATCGATGCTTTTCAATATAATAGAATTTTATTACTGCTACCTAGATAAAAAGTATGGGCAGCGAAGTAACAGTCGTATTGTAGCAGTAGTATTAATTTAAACATTCTAGATTATGTCAAACAATCGGTGGCCCATGGTACCCCGAGACCCTTATTGCAGACGCTTGACAAAATACCCACACAGAACACATCATCCATTAGATGTCCACATGATCTCTATAACTCCATGCGACATCTATCTCTACGATGGAAGTCACATAGATGTCCATTAGAGATCTATAATAGATATTCATTAAAGATTTACGATATATGATCCACTAAAAATCCACGATGGACGTCCATTAAATAGACTAACTAGCATTTGATCTCCTTGATTGTGTCCAAGTCATATTTGTTCCATCAAAAGAATTGAAGGCCATTTTTGAAGAAGAAGAAGAAGATTTGATCTCCTTATTACGTGGCACGTATTTTACGATTTGGAACAATCCGTTATGTGATTTATATATTTTAATTACATGATTTCGTTATATAACTTTGTGACGTGATTTTTTTCAGGGAATACTTCCTGGAAACTATTCTGATGTTCGCAGGGAGTTCCCAAAACACGATTTCCAAGCTTCCTGCGACCTTAAATGAAGCTTCTAGGGAATTCTCAAAAGCGCTCCTGGGGAACTCTAAGCGAGTTCTTTTGAAGTTAAAATAAAGCTTGCAAAAAATTTTTGAACTCCCTGCGAGCTTAAAAAGAACTCTCTGAGAATTTACATGAAGCTCCCATAGAACTCTTAAAAATGAATACAAGAGCTCCCGAGGAGCTCCAAGCGAGTTCTTTTGAAGTTGAAAGCTTACATAAAAAATTGTTTGAGCTCCCTGCGAACCAAAATGAAGCTCCCAGGAAACTCACAAATGCGGACATAGGAGTTCCCGAGGAGCTCCGTGCAAGTTCTTTTTGAAGCTTAAATGAAGCTTTCAAAAATTTTATAACCTCCCGGGGAGTTCCTCGAGAGCTCCTCGTGCAGTGTGGGACTTTACTGACATTTTTATCAAATCTGCTGCTAGTCTGCCGACATTTTGCCAACATTTTGCTTACAAAGTTGTTTAAAAAATAAAAGAGGATGATCTAAATATGTATTATTCATCTTCAAAGGGTTACAATTCATCAAATATTCTCCGAAATGTGACATATGTATACCTTTTGATATAATTTAAATTAGATTATACCCAGTCAACACACTGCGCAATTTTGAAACATTTACATAACATAGTGTACGTAAATGTTATAGATCAGCGCAACGAACCAATGACATAGCAAGTATATCATTGACATAAAAGGCTGTAATTATTACGTATGCTGATGCTGTCACTGTTTTGTTGCATAGTTACGTAACATTTACGTAACTTGAATAACATAAATTTTCATTTTCTGAAAATTTCGTAAATGTAACTATGATAATGTTACGTTATTTATATGTAAATGTATACGTATTACATGTATGTTCCGACTTTGCTGCGCGAAATATATTCTGACATTTTGACCAAATCATGATTTGAAGATGGTGTAACTATTACAGAACAGTGTAACATCGTTCCATAACGTAAATGTTACAGAACGGTGTTCACTGGGTATGCATGTGTATAATCTAATTTAATTTGATTTATATTAAAAAAATGCTTTGTTTCGGCTTTATTCAATTACGTGAACTTAATTTTCCAATCGTTTTATTTAATTTTACGCGATTCAGTAACAATTGCTATAAATCACCTTTCGCATCCTGTTATATGGCAATTGGTGAGCTTTCCTTTCAGAGGATTGCTTTGGCCGCTGGTGTTGAGGCGCTCGGGTTGTAGAATATACAAATCTGTTTTCTTTTCGCAAGCACGTAATTTTCTTGGATAATGAGCGGAAGTGGCCCGTGTAGTTGGCGGCGAAACTGGTGTCGCTGGCGCGATTACTGGAAATCTCACATATACGTTATTCCCATCCGATGTTACTTCATCTGTCGAGTCGGCAGGCGTCAACGATTCGAATTCGTGTGTCTCCTCATCATCGGTGAATACTAAGTCGTCTGAAAAAAATTAACATATTTTTTGTGATCTTTAATATTTACTCGAGTAAATAAAGATGTGCACTGAGGAAATTGTCCAGTGGTTTTGATTGGAAATAACCGATCCAGTGCTTTTTCCGATTTCAATTCAGACAGAAACAAACAGGGATCGTATTCGTAGTTGCAAACAAATTCCTATAGATAATTGCATACAGATATTGCATACAGATGTAGATAAATATGATATCCATAATTGCGGATATTAGATATCGTCAGTATCCAATGCATATATAGATTGCAGATAGAAACAAGCAAGTTTTTCTATTATAAAAGCTTATAAATGCTGATACGCCAATAGAGCTCCATTAGATACAATTACTATTACATTTTCTGTCTGCAGATTCAATAATTGTTTACTGAAACGGATAGGAATTGAATCTTTTTTTCAATTAAGTTACAGCTTGCAGTTATAGCGGATAGAAGTCCATTAAAACCCGTTAGAAGTCCTATTTGTTTCTGACTGTTTCTAACGGTAATTTTTACAGGGTTGGCCGTCTCCACGTTCTCTCTCTCTCTCTCTCTCTCTCTCTCTCTCTCTCTCTCTCTCTCTCTTTTTTTTTTTTACTCTCTCTCTCTCTCTCTCTCTCTCTCTCTCATTTTTGTTGATCACAATTGATATACTATTTAGATACGGATGACGCAGTCCATGCTGCATGTCCTTATTTTTGCCGAATTGAATCGAATTTCAGTTCTTAATTTCTTTAAATCTGAATCGAACCGAATCGATAAAATTTAATTCAAATAGAATCGAATCGTTGAAACATAACTTTAACATAATTATTGTTAGATTGAATTTGCTAACAGACTATCATCAAATTCGATCAAACTATCAACTGTATCCACAGTTAGGCTCGCATTTATAACTTGTCAACATAATCTGATGGCAAATTGTCGGCAGAAACCAAGCAGACTCTGCTAACGTAATGTGATGCTGGACTATCAGTAAAAAAATGAAGTAAAATCTTATCTAACAGCGGATTGTTAATAGAAATCGAACACATCTGCCGGTCTGTCATTTAATTAGTTTTGCTTAAAGATTCTGTTATATAATATTAAATATTGAATCTTCTGTTATATCTTTTTCAAGAATCTGTCAACAACAGTTTATATGTGTGCATGTGCATATTGTCTAATCCTATATCAATTCTATTATCATTCTAATACATACGACTGCAACGTGTCAGCATAAATTTTCTATTTACAAAAAGATTCGTATAAAATAACAACTTTATGATCATTTGTGTTGTCAGTTTGTTATCTGTGATTACACTGTGTAATTTACACATATATTGACTACAAATTGATGGCAACTTGTAGACAATTTGTTATCATCGGTACGCCCATCCACAGTATATTAATAACTAATATACAATATTATGACGACAATATACGTCAAATAGTGAATGTATATCTTGGGAATTCATAAAAAAAAGTTTTTGAGAACAAAAAGAAAGGCATCGAATTGTCGTCAGCAAGGTGTGAGAACTGAGAACTGTTTAAAAATGCTTTATATTCTCGCCTTTAAAACATGATCATTTCATTATCGTTTCATTAGAACATGAAATATTTCATAGTAAACATCTATATGATATTTTACTTACAAGAAATAGAACTACTGCATCTATCTACTGGTGGTGCTGTGCATTGCTCGTGATGTGCGATTTAGTGAAAACTGTTACCATATGACCATTTCATAATGTCAACACTTTGTTAGAGCAACAAGCCATGTTAAATTTATAAAGACATACTCAATAATGGATGGAAGTTTTACATGTGTGTCGTTATATGTTTTCATCATTATGCTCAAAATGGAACGACAAATTATTCGTAGCTGTCATGTTGATATATTACTGACAACATAATGTACCAATATTGTTGACAGTTTGCTCTTAAAATCTCGTTTCGTCAACTGATTACTTGCATAATCATGTTGCTGCATTCGTAACGTATTCTAGTTTGTCAGCAAATGCATAGCAAATATATAACACATATGATGCATTAGCTTGCTCAATATACATCACGCTTAATTATCTAGGTTGCCCAGAACGATTATTCGACATTTCTTTTTGTTCTCAAAAATTTCTTCATGAATTTCCAAAGATTATATATAAGGTACCTTCCGACATTTGGGACTATTTTCATATGCAGATAGAGAAGACTAAACTGAGTCGAAAAGTCTTCTACAATTTTTCAAGGGAGGGTCTCATTAGCACACAGTGCGATAGTACACATCCACTCATATCGGCTGGTGCCCAATAACTTTTCACTACTGCTTTACCAATGAGAATATTTTATTTTAAATCAGCCAATTAGCGGTGTGCTATCGGAACCCTCCCTAAGCGCATGGCTAGATGCAGTCGTCCAGCAATTGAGATTGCTAAACACGCGGAGAGTTATTTAATAGTAATAATGCTGGCTTTTTCCGAGAGAAGCGTGAATATTTTGGTTACTATCAGGATTGAACCCGGAACCTCTGGCATGATAAACGAGATAACGTTACTCGTTACAAATTACTTTTTTCAAAAAGTAAACGCATAATGATGCACGTTACATTCCAAAGTGACTTTTTCTTAACATAATTTTAGCGTTTAGTCAATTATCGTTATAGTCATAAAAAATTGCTACGTCTTTATCAAATTGTTATTATAAGAAGTAACGGAACAGTAACTCTTTCATTTCTTAGTTGAAAACAAATTATTCATACATCCCAGTGAAAAACATTCTGGTAGTGTTTTTAAGGCTCCTGACTACTCAGCCAAGAACTCTGCGTTGACTGGCGACACAGTATCAGGCGGCGGTCTGGCAAAATCGGTAACCACACACTTAAGCACGAGCCCATGTCCGTGTGCTCGCCTGCGAGCACACGAACATGGGATCGTGCTTGTGTGTGTGTTACAGCGCCACATCACGATAAATGGCCGAACTTATAGGCGTGGAAAAGTGACATTTTGACCAGTTTTGACGACGAAATTTGTGCACGGTGCCATTTCATTATTATTTGCTGAATTGTGAAAATGTGACTTGCCTCGTACTTATAAAAGTCCTAAAAATGGGCAGAAACTACATTCATCTTGGAATTTTATACGTAAAACTGTATATTTTACTCGTTTCAACAGCTGTTAAACCATTTGTTTCTACCCGAATTTAGGCTCACTTTACCTGCCATTTACGACCATTTACTGACCATTAAGGGAGATAAGGATAGTTTTTGCTCATTTTTACAAGTGTTTTAAAGCGATTTCGTCATTTAGATTTGTCCAAATTGTCTTTATTTATAAATGGCATGCAGCATAAATTAACATGTATTTCTCGCCTATATGACGATTTCAACGTGGCCGCCGCGACTATTCAGGAGCCTTAATACTATCTCTCGCCAGTGATACAATTAACTAACAATTAAACTAAGCGGGTCAATACTATCAACTTTACCCGTGAAGATCATTTGTCAAAAATCTTTTGAGCGCTAGTGTACATTTACCTTAAAAAAATTAACAATTTAAAAGGCAGTATTAAGGAAATAATGTGAGTTGCACTTTTATGAAACTACAAGATTAAGGAAATAAACAATGATATTAAAAATATTAATTTATTTAAAAGTAAAAAATACGATATGAAAGAAATTATGATAATATTATGGAAAAAATAATCGGACTTGCGAGTAAAACAGTCATATTATAAGAAAATCATAGTATCAGAAAACATATGATCAGGAAGTTAAAGTATCGGAAATACATAATTTGAAATTATTTCAATAGAATATTGTATACTGTTAGTTCAAACAATTTTTCATAATCCAATAGTATTTTTTCACAATGGTAAAATGGAATAATAATACAAAAATATTTTTTATGATCTACTTTTAATGCTAATGTAACTTGAAACAGATGTAATGTGTAAGAATTTAGTATTTATTACAACTGTTATAATTGTTATATTACAATTATTAAATTATTTATTACAATTGTTATATTTCCAGGTTCTGCCCATCTGTATTTTTATATCTTAGTAGTGTAGTACCTGCAATTTGGTTGTTAGAACTGGATAAAGAAAAAAATACTTAAGATTTTATATATATACATTTTTCTTTAAAAATTATAGGTATCAATTTGTATAAAAAATATGAAAGTTTCTAAAAAGCTATAAAATCATATAGAAATTGTGAACAATTCTGAAATTTATATAAAGATTCTGCAAAATTATGTGAAGAATTCTAAGAAAAATTTTCACCAGAACAAAAACTGTTTTTAATATCTCGTGATTTGCATGAATAAAACGGAATGTATGTACTCTTGCTACATATATATCGAGATAATTGGTACACTTTTAGATTGTTTTGTTTATTGTATGAATATAAACACATTTTTTTAAATATTACCATTCATTACGTCGTTAGCAAGCGCCAATGTCGTCTGCCATAAGTCTTGAATATTAAAACTCAAAGTCAAAGTCCAAAGAAAGTTGCCAAATGCCACCGCTGTCATTATGATAGAATCAGACAGAGTTCGCGGTGCTGATGATTGATGAGATTCTTGAGGACTGCAAGTTCCTTGATAATCAATGACGGTCACTTTTCTGTGAACATCGTAAAAATATCTTAATGTCCAGAATATTTCAGTTCAATTTCAGTTCAAAAAAATTGCAGCAATATTTACAATCCTCCCTCCAACTTATAATCCTCCAGCTAAAGGACGATTACAATAACTGTGGCCCCTCAAAATAAAATTATTTTTGAAAGTACTTTTAGAAAGGAATACGGGAAAAATAGTAAAAAAAATCTATAATCAATATTTAATTTGATAATTATAATTCAATTTTATGATCAATTTGATAATAACTTTTTAATGAACAATGATGCCGACTAAAATGTTCTGGAGGTTATTCAGGACATTGACCTTGACAAGAGGTGCATTCCGATATTCACTGCCAGTGCTGAAACTATACAGTATATGTTACGTGCGCTATAGATTTTTAGCACTCGAAGTGAATATCGTGATATAAGTGAGATTTTAAGACTCTCACCTCATCTCCCCTTGTTACGGGATGTACGACTTTCCACGCGAAATGACTCCCATCTCACCTCCTCTCCCTGCTACGGGGCGCGACTTTCCACGTGAAGCGACGATTTTTTTTATTTTTTTTAATTGTTAGTTATTTTGGTATCTATTGGTTGAAGAATTTTTTTACTATTTTTCTCGTATTCCTCACTAAAAATGCTTCCGAAAATCACTTTCATTTTGAGGAGTCACAGTTATTGCAACCGTGCCCCAACTAATGTTAATCACTCATGAAAAGTTTGATTTGTATTTTCTAATGTATCGTATATTCCGGTATAGCAAAAGATTGTCATAGAATTTTTAAATATTAATGAAATATTCAGAATATTGTTTGTACACTTCTTATATATATCATAAAAATCACTCACCCGCGAGCAGTATGCATCTCCGCCAATAAAATGTCGCGGCAAAGATGCATTAACCCGTAAATAAGAATCATATGGGAAAGAACACGCGCGTTCAAATCGACAAAGCGACTAGCCTGCTTGCTGAGCAAATGAATATGATTGGTTGTTACTTATAAATCCAACCAATCACATTCAATCGCTCGGCAAGCAGGCTAGCAGCTTTATCCGGCTTGAACGCGCCCAATATAAAGAGCGCAGCGTTTCGTCTGTGAGCTCACAAAATTGTACTTTAAGATAAAAGTAAAGAAAATGTGTTTTTGATAGTATAATTCGTTTAAAAATTAGTTTAAGGACTTTCGGACTTGGAATTTCTAAAAAAGTTATAATTTTGCGGAAGATACATGGAACATTGCCCAGATATATAACGCAATGTATGAATGGAATATTTAACAATTATTTGAATGTTGCTTTTACATTCTGTAAATATTTCGGGATATTCTGGAATACTCTTGGAAAATTGTTTTGGGATTTTAGGAAATTTTACGAATATTTTCGTGTTAGCTGGGGTGCAACATTGTACAAATATTGTAAAGGAATTAGATATATTTCTGTGATTGCAGCAGCATTTGCAAAAATGTTGCATATTATATATGAGTATACACAAAAGAATATATTTGAATATACATTATACCAAAAAGTTAAGAGATCATCTATTCTGTTCTCCAAAAAAGGCAATTTTCAAGAGAAAGTAACTTCGTAAAAAATGATCATAATGGTATGATTTAAAAAGAGTTTTAAAGTTTTTGATGTCTTTATTATAGGCTACGTTCAGTAGACCCAACAGTTGAGTGAGCTATTAATGTAGTCTTCTAGATCGAAAATTCTGATTGGATGATCTAAAAGAATACATCAATAATAGCAAGCGCTCACTCAATCGTTGAATCCACTGAATACGCCTAATGACATATAAGATAAACTCAGCATTAACTACATATCTGGGTTTAGTGCGAGAGGCAAAATATCGCCCTGGTAAAAAAAGTTGATAGAAAAAAATCTTAACGTTTTGATTATGGAATCTGGTTTGTAAATTCACTAATTTGAATCAGATTTTATAGGAATCTTGTACAAATTTTATAGAATCCGATAAAATATGATAGAATTCATAATCAATCAATCGGGATGCTCGTGATGTCGACAATCATGGTGGAAGGGAAAAGCAAAAGGGCTCACGTTAATCAAGCATTCAAAATCGTGAGAGGCAAGGGGACTCACTTTAATCAAGCATCCCGAATCGTGAGAGGCAAAGGGACTCACGTTAATCAAGCACCCCGAATCGTGAGAGGTAAGGGAACTTACATTAATCAAGTGTTAATCCCTTTTATTGATGTTACAGAGCTTCAAAAACTTTGAGAGCTTTGTAAATTAACTCGGTCAAAAATCAAGCGAATTGAAAATCTCAAAAAACATTGCATTCGTCTCTTTGACAGCTTTTACTGGAAGAAAAAATCGACTTCGCGATTAAAAAAAATGGATATAACAAAGAAATCTCAGAAATGGTGCCATCTACGATTGAGCTGACAACAGTATTTCGTTTTTTAATCAAAATTGTGAAACTTTTGTCTGAAACGTTTTTTCCTATCTTTTTTTGCTTTCAAGAAAATTGATTGAATAAATTAACTTGTAAGTTGTCAAGGTTATGACTCTGAACAACAAAGGTTTTAGCCATCAGTCTGACACCTTGGATGATGCAAATACCGGCGATATGGTAACTTTGAAGTCTTGTAACTTGAAAAATACTTAACAAAAAATAACATTATTATAGTGTTTTGAAAAAGTCTTGAAGTCAGCTATAAGAACATGTAATAAAAAATGACGAGTTTCATTAAAAAAATTTTAGGTAACCTTGATCTTAAGGTTACCTACATCTTCTCAAGGTCAACCAAGATCACCAACTTCTTTCCCTCTTGAAACTATAAAACTTTTGTCTGAAACATTTTTGCATTAAACTTATAGGTTTTGAGAAAATCGACTGAATAAATTAAAATGGGCCACCCTGTATATAGCCGGATACTGATGATGTCCGGCTATCTGATCGGATAGTAAAAAAGTGATTTACTTCATATCGAAAATTACTTGATAATATCGAATACCGAATATTTTCCAAATATTGCATCCTGATGCATCCTTATAAGTTAAATAAATCGATGAAAAAAATCTCACAACAATAAATAAGTACATAAATTAAAAATAAACATTCACTCTTTCGCCTTATAATTTTTAATTTTTTAATTTTTTATCGCTTTTTAATTTTTTAAATTTTTTAAAAAGCGATTTAATCGCTTTTTAATTTTTTATCAACTTTTTAATACTGCATTTTCTTATTTTTATCAACATGAGAAAATACGGTATTAAAAAATTCTGAAAAAATTCTCAGAACTTTATGAGAAGAAAATAAATAATTTTTGTCTCTTGCAGTTTTTCTGTAAAGTTGACAGTATTTGAGTAAAAAATTATTCAAAACCAATATTTTGCAATTTTTCGCAGCGACGAAGACGGTCGACTCGTAGGTGTCTGCTTGGTGGGGATACAAGTGGTGGGGCTGGTTTTCCGTGTTGCCGGGAGCCAAATGTGTCTCGGAGTGCTCTGATATTTTTCTCGTGTTGTCGCCATAGACTTATAAAATAGACGGAGCGTTCATACGTGAAAAGTTGAAGACAACATTGGCTGCATTCAGCAGACTCAACAGTTTTGCAACCGTTTTATGATTCGTCACGCTAATTGGTTTATACTTTTAGTTTTAAAGGAATAGTCCAATCTGAGCGAAGAATCATAAAACGGTTGTAAAACTGTTGAGTCTGCTGAACGCAGCCATTGAAGGACAGCGCTACTCCGGACATAGTTGTGTTTCTCTCTTTCACAGTGAGCGGTGGGGGACCAATCAGCTTGAGCGTATTGCGTAAGATCACAACTTTTGGTTCGTGTGCTGAGAGGTTATGAAATCAAGTTTTTCAGGAACACTAAAATATTAACATACATCTTTTTTAAATAATTATATTAAAATATATTAATTAATAAAAAAAGCTGTATCTGTTGTTATTTTGGGTACATTCCGTGTCTCGCATAATGTGCGTAATGCATCATTTATCCTTGTTTAATATTCGGTGAACAACAAGGATAAATAATGGATTATGTACATCATGCGAGAAACGGAATATTCTCAATGAGGTTAAACGTTTCGTAACTAAGATATAAATATGTTATTCTTGCTACAGTGTAACAGTTCTTTAAAGAACCACCGCAAAATTAGGTATTTTTTCGCCCGTTTTCTGGACAATTTAGAAGCAAATATTGTGCCAAATGATTAGTTATGATGAGACAATAATCGCATAAAATTTTTAAGTTGAGCATATGATTGGTTTTCGAAATATAGAGGGTCAAAGTGGTGCCTGTCGCTTGAGAAAGTATATATACACACACTATTATATTTTCACTGACCTAATATTCACGTTAAAAAATAGTCCCGACAGTATTTTAATGTTTTTTCGGTTACTGATTATGAACGCGAAATCTGAAATCTAAAATTTAATGATATTGCGAAAAAATTTAATGATATATCTGATATTGCGAAATTCAAACTAGATTCGCAATTAGCGATCTGAGAAATCTTTGAGAAGCAATCTTTAGTCAAATTATTTTGAATTTTTGAATTCAGACTACAGATTCGTAATCACTAATCAACGACCTAAAAAATCCCCGAGAAGCAATTTTCATTTAGATTATTTTGAATTTCGCAATATCGGTTAAACATATTGGATCCGTCATTTAAAATTTTGGAATTTAGATTTCAGATTCGTAACCAGCGACCCAAAAAATAATAAAATACTGTCGGAACTATTTATTAACCTAAATATTAGGGCAATGAAAACACAATAGTGTTAAACATTTTCAAAGGATAGGCACAACTTTGACCCTTTATATTTTACAAATCAGTCATATGCTCAACTTACAAATTTTATGCGGTTATTGTCTCATCATGACTAATCATTTGGCACAAAATTTGGTTCAAAAATCGAGATCCAGAAAACGGGCGATTTTTGCAATGGCTCTTTAAATTAGAAAGTCATATCAGTAGAAGATGTAAAAGCAGTGCGAGATGCATGCTCTGTGGAAA